TAGTTTGGTTTTTATAGTTTTAATACATTTGTAACTTAGTAAATTAGTTGTAATTCAATTATCAAAATTTGACTCGTTGCAACTCGGCTCTTATATTTTTAACTATTTTATAATTTAGTCTTTCACTGCAACTCGATTCCTATATGTTGCAGTGAGTCAAATTTCAAGAATCGAGTTATAACCAAGTCAAAACTATAAAGAATGATTTGTACCGAGCCACAATATAAAGACTGAGTTACAAATAAATAAAAAATATAAAGACCAAAAGATTAATTTTTTCTAAATACTTTTACATAGATAAAATTTTCATCATATATTTATATTGTATTCTATAAATCATAATCTTGTCCTTGTAAGATGCTGTTTCTTGCAATAAAGTGACCACGTTATTATTTTTATTTTTTTAAAAATGGTTGAATTGCAAAAAATAAAGAATATCCTAGGATCCAAATCCAAGAGATCCAATAGAGGCCTTGGTATAATAATGTGGGGGGAGCCATTGGAGAATTAAATGAGGGGGTGATGCTCAAATCATAGCCATGCCTATACCTATGCATTAGGCATTAATAAATATGCCTCTTGCATTAAACTATTCTTCTTTTCTCTTTCACATATTCATATTTATTTTCTTGTCCCCATCATCTCATCCCATTCATGATGAATATTTTTATTTGGCTTATTACAATTTTTTATTTTATAAACACGTTATTTTGTAGCAGCAGAAATTATATTTATATTAAATTAATACTACATTCAGTCCTAAAAATAACATCTAATTTATAATAAAAATTATACTATAAACTAAATATTATAGTTTGGATCGGATGGAATATTAAAGTGATAATTGCGTGGCTAGGCTTTACCTGATGAAGGTCCACTATTTCAGTCTATTCCCTGTTCTAAGAATAAATATTACTCTTTTTTATCCTTAATATAAGACATATTTAACTAATTTGGTTAGATTAAAAAAGGTAGGTAAGTTAGTTAATTATAAGAAATATGACATGTTTTTCCTAAAACACAATAATCATCTTTCTAATATACTCCCTCCCTCTTCTACTTGATTATAGTTGAGAGAGTATCCATAGGAATAATTTAGAGGAAATTGATAAATATGAGAAATAAATCTTATATTTAAAATCAAAATCAACTTAACAATTAAATCCTGTATTAAGAGCAAGAGGAGTACTACATACTTGTGATTTAGATTTAGTCTTAAAGAAGCAATTCACTCCACACACACACACACACACACACACACACACCACCACACACACACACACACACACACACACACAACACACACACACACCACACACACACACACACACACACAACACACACACACACACACACACACACACACACACACACACACACACACACACACACACAGAGAGAGAGAGAGAGAGAGAGAGAGAGAGAGAGAGAGGAGGGCGAATATGCATGCGCCCCTTCCCATTCGTCTTATAAGACAACTCCTAGTAAAAATTTCCTAGTCTAAATTTAAAAGGTGGCTTATACTTACTTGTCAAATTTATTCTTATAACAAGTATTTAAATGTAACTATTGGCTTTTTTTTTCCCTCCCCTTTAAAACCTACTACCTCCGATCCTAATTATAAGAACCAGATGACTAATTTGAGGAGATTAAAAAAGTAAGTTGAGTTAGTTATTTGTCCTAAATAGATGTTGTCTTTTCTAAAATATTCTTGCTAATCAAGTGTATTGACTATAACTCTTATTATTAGAAGGATTACTGTGAAAAAATATATATAAATATGAGAGACAAAGTAGATTGAGATCTTATATTTAGGATCAAAATAAAAGTCAAACAGAGTCTTATATTAAGAACCGGAGGTAGTATTAATCGAGATAAAGCCCAAAAAATTTTTAGACTTTACAAGGTACTCTTAATTATCATTCTTTAGTTCACGTGGGTTAGTCAAAAAATCCCCTGTAATAAGGACCGGGTTAATATATGTGTATATGCATGAGGGAGAGAGGGACGAACAAGTGGAGGAAGAGGTCCATTCTGGTTGCTTCTTGCGCGATACTTTGTGTAAGGGATGGACCACCCTACCCCTTAAATACTGTTTTGGTCTTTAATATAAAATCTTATTTGATTTTTATTTTGATTCTAAATATAAGATTCCAATCCATTTTGTCTCTTATATTTATATATACTTTTTAAAGATAATCTTTCTAATAATAACAGTTCTAACCAATACACTTAATTAGTAAGGATATTTTAGAAAAAACAACACTTATTTAATACAAATAACTAACTTAACTTCTTTTCTTAATCTCTTTAAATCAGTTAACTAGTTCTTATAAATAGGACTAGATATAGTAATTCACAATATACTCACCATTCAGATTCCCACAATCCCACCCATTCCTCCTCCATTATTAGTTTCCCTGTCGGTTATTAATATAAAAACTAATTAATTAATTTGAGTAGATTAATGATCTTAGTTAAATTAGTTAATAAGATATACACACACACATATATTTAAAACACCCTAAGGTCCTATTTGGCACGAGGCATTGAAAATGAAGAATAGGAACTATGATTACAATCAAGAAAAATTATTAAAAAAGTATTTAGCATGAGTAATTGTATGTTATATGGGATTAGACAAACATATAGAGGTGAGATTGGAGGGTATTATCTCCTCCCATGGTATTTCCCAGTCCTACATACATAGGTTTGTCTCTAATCCCATGTAACAAGCAATCTCTCATGCTTAACACTTTTTTAATAGATTTTGTTAATCCCAATCCTAATTCTTATACTCATTTTCAATGCTTCATATTAAACAGGACTTAAACATCTTTCTTAATTCACTCCCTCCCTCTTCTATCTGATTATTATTGAGGTGATATCAATACAATTAATTTGAAAAAGGATTAATAAATATGTAAAATAGGTTTTACATATAAGACCAATATTAATTTTTCAATTAAATCCTATATTAAAAATTGAAAGAGTGTTACTACTGTATTACAGTTACTAACTACAAATACTGATTAAGGAAATTGTTTCACTTTTTTGTTGAACAATGTTAATGACGAGTATTTAAGGGAAAATGAAATTACTGATTTAAAAAATTAAAAAAATTACTTATATCTTGAATCAATAAAACTAAGAAAGAAATCCAGGGAGATCAAGTCACTAAAATACATATATGATTACAGACAAATTATGCCATCAAAGAATAATATAATGAACATATGACAAAATTCAATCAAACAAAGGATCAAATAATGATAATGAAAGCTCTGTCTCAATGATCAAATTAGGACACACAATGTAAAACTATAAAATAAGATCAAACCAACCAAGCACAACTCTTCAAACTCGTTTTCTACGTGAATATTCGTTAAATACCATTCATCATTAATCATTGAAAAGGATGTTTTAAATGTATGGTTAAAATCATGTTAGAAAGTAAACCATTTGTTAGGAGCAATTCTGAAAAATTACTGCGATGGCCAAAAAAAAAAAAAGATACACTCTGAAAAATTATTGCGATTAAGGATAAATTTCTTATTATAAGTGATTTCCACTATGTTTGGTCAAAATTAAAGAAAAAATTTCTCTATATATAAATTTAATAAGTTTTAAATTTTGCCCATGTTAAATATTCCTACTTTGAAAATTACCAAGGGTCTCCTTGTGACGGCGTCTGGACATCATAAATATGGGATTGATGACAAAACATGCAATCCATAAAATTACAGTGTTTGAGTTGGCAGCGGAGCAACCTGACATTTGTATAAAAAAAATACAATAAGCTATAAGTAAAAATCAGTTGCTTTCAGCTTATGGTTTTTGGCTTTTGAAATATGAAAAGTAAAAAAGTAAAAATATTTTTTACTTCATCTAGTTCTTATTTTAAGTTTCAAATAACTAATTTGAGAATAATAAAAAATTACTTAAAATTAGTTGAAGGTAATAAATAAGTTAGAAACCTACTTTTATTTTTAAATATGTCCTTATAATAAATGATAAAAAAATAAAAGAGACTATATGAGATCAACAGAAACTTATTAATTCAAATTGAAATTAATAAAATAGATGACACCTCCTCCCAAATTTGGAATTTATAAATAAAATCAGCAAGAGCTTATAAATAATTTAAAATGATTATACTATGTAAATTGATACTTTTTTATTTTGTATTATTTAAAAGTCATACCCATTTTTATAATTTATTAATTTTACAAGCTAAAATTACTTATTTTATTATAGTCTAAAAAATTTACTCTTACAAAATAATTTATTTATAAAAGTCAATCTAAACATAAATCATATCACTCAATTTAATTTTTATCTGATTAACTTTTTTAACAGTCAAATTAAAAATAAATTATTTTTTTCACTGCTAATTTAAACAAGCCTTAAATAGCATATACTAACTTTCAATGTGGAATAAAAGGAGAGTGATGTAAAAGGTAATGACAGGTCTTTTGATTAGGACACAAGATTTTTTATTTTATTTTCTGATCCCTTATAAATGGAACTAATCAAATCTTTATTTATTTATTTATTTATTTTTTTGCCATCAGAACTAATCAAATCTTTAATGACTTAGTATGTGTAAAAGACTTTAGTTTTGGAAAAAAAATTTAACTAGTGAGATGAAAATTGCAAAAATTTTGAGATTGAACTTGAAAATTAGCGTGAAGTATCCGGATCAAATTATTAATTTACTCGAAACATAATGGTAGGCCAGAGTTTCTCATAAAGCATAAGGGTCGTTTAGAACAATATCCACTTTTGAAAAGCCACGTGTCCTGAACTAATTGGATTTATTTTCCTGTTACTGCGGACCCATCTGCAAGAGATCATAACCCGTAACTCCGAGCTTCATCGATACCGTCAACGGCTGCTTTATCCATTATCCGCCCTGGTTAGTTAGCTTTTCTGGGTAGACGGCTTTCCCTCCCAACTTGTTAGAGAAAGAAAGAGAGAGCGAGTATGGCACGGATCTAGAGAGAGATTCTTTTTTGGGGGGGGGGGGGCACTTATATATTTGATTATTTGGTCTCCAATTTTTTGGTTATTTCTGAAATCCACAAAAATTCCTGTTTAATGTTAGCCGGCCATCTGTTGCACAATTTACCGTTGTTTCTCGTTTGTTTGACCACAAACTGTTCGTTATATTGCCCCAAAGAGAACAAACAGGAGGAGGAGAAGACGAAGCAATAAGGGAAGTTCTGTGAATACCGAAGGGATTATTGAGGTGCGGTGAAGAATCTGTTGGAGTGGAGGGAAGGAGGACCCACCTCTTCACATTCATCATCTTCTTCATCAAATCTCTTTTATCTTTTTCTGTATATGCACTGAACCTCCTGAAATTTTGTCCTTTGGATAATTCATTCAATTTCCCATTTTTTAATTGTAAAGCTTGTTTTGGATTGCACCTGATAATAGTGCCTTCAATTCTAAGATACCCAGATCTGTTTTATTTTACCCATACTGTTCTTAAAAATAATTGATTCCATTAACCTATAGATTCAGAGATTTTATAGATATGGGTCTTTGTATCTAGACTTATCTTCATCCATCTCATGCCATTTCCATTTTACAGGTGTCAGAAAACCTGACAACAGATCCTGCGACCCCACCCCCATTAGCTTCCTACTTGGTTCACCTTCTCCTCCTTTTTTAGAACTCATTTCTACATATGAATGACAGCTGTTGAAGGTGTCTGTACGGTTTTTCTTGTTACGCACAAAAATAGTGGTTCAACGAAATTTCCATAGCATTTCGTTGCTGTGAAATTCTGCCAAAACTTCATTTTTTTCGGTCTGATAATATATTGTAGAGAGGCCCACCATTGGGTTTTGGTGGGCTCTCGTTCAACCAATAGAAAATATTGCTTCATTTTTTCTCTAAAGGGGGGGCCTCAATCTCAAACGGTGACCGACGCCATTGGGGTTTCCTCTTAACTCCTCTTAGCCATCGCTTTTCCTTCCCCCTAAGCTGCTTCTATTATTATCGCCTATGCCAAACTCAAATTTGACCCGCAAGAGATTTCCTCTTTCCTAATGCTACTTTTCTTCGTCACTTCAATCACCTTCTTCTTGTTCCTGAAGTCTCTTTCCCTCAAACGTCAACAACTTTGGACAAGTAATTTGAGATTGATATCCCTTGTGTTTTGCAAACAGTTACTGTCTGTAAAATCAATCTCTAAGTTGATCGCCTATCGTCTGTTTCTGGGTTTTCCTTCTCAAATTCCTTCAAGAATGTCCCTAATGAAGAAGATGGCCTTCACTTCAAGAGTAGAGAATGTGGAGGATTCCCAGGATTCCTCACTTTTGGACTTGCCAGAGCTGGTCTTAGAATGCATTCTTGAGAGGCTACCTCCTTCAGCTCTTTGTCAAATGGCAGGTGTGTGCCGTTCCTTGAGGGAGAGAAGTATCAGTGATTACTTCTGGGAGAGGCACATGAAGCAGAAATGGGGTAGGATTATTGGTAAAGCTGCTTATAGGGAGTGGCAATGGCATGTTGCTTCAAAACAAGACATGGGCAGTCTAAAACAGGGAAAGCATAGGGGATTGAGGAGGTTTCTATCTCTGAATTGGTCTTTTTCATGGATGAGATTGAAGGGTGATGCAAATAATAATAATAATAGTAGCAGCGACCAGCCAAGTTCCTTGCCAGTTGATTCTGTCATGACTTGGTATCTTGCTCTCGAGTCTGGCAATTTCTGGTTCCCTGCTCAGGTTTATAATCGTGAGGTATGTGTAGGGCGAGTCTCTCTGTGGCTTTTCTGTTAAAAAGTTTAAATCTTCTGTGAGACCTGAGAAAATACAGAGAAAGCTTCTTGGAATTTAATTGGATTATGAGGATTTGTTTTCTCACACGTTACGTTTGTGCTCTTTTATTATTTTTCTGTTAAAAATTTGTATTTACGATGGTACCCACAAACATATAAAGAAATTTCTTGGATTTTAACTGTACTCAGAAGATTTTGTTTGCTCTCAATTTCCATTAGTGATTTTTCTGTTAACAATATATAACTACCCCACGATGCCCACAAAAATGAAAGAGAAAGTTTCTTGGATTCTTACTCAATTTAGAGGATTCTGTTTTCTCACGAGTTACATTTGTGATGTTGGTGGTGTAGAATGGTCATGTTGGATTCGTGTTATCTTGCTATGATGCTGAGCTGAGCTATGATCGGCACACGGACACCTTCCAAGCCAGGTAATTAGACATTTCTTTTTTCGTTGATCATACATTTACTAGTTTCTTAGTATACACTGATGTGTGTGATAAGCTTGCTGAAAAGATGTTGGAGAGTTTGCACAGGGAAAACACGACAGGAGAAAGAAAACATGAATTTGGATCTGGTGGGGTAATTTAATTATTGATATTGTCTTACAGGTATCCGCCACATGGAAGAAGGGCAATTGCAATAGAGAATGGCATCGCATGGCAAAGGCTAAGAGCTCCACCAACTGACACTCTCCCTCATGATCTTCATATTTCTGACTGTTTGAACGATCTGCGTCCTGGTGATCACATAGAGATTCAGTGGAGGAGAAACAAAGAATTCCCTTATGGTTTGTTCCTCTCTCGATCTTGGTCTTCTATTTCTCCTGTTAATTACTTTGGTTGGTAAAAGCTGCGAACAATTTAACCATATCAAATAAACATTATCGCCGCCGGAAAAGACAAAAAGAGAAGGGATACAGAATGCGGGACCGTAGTCAATTAGTTTTTATCTTCTGGAAATGTAAAAAGAAAGGGAAAGGGGGTGGTTGTATCTAATATTTAGCCTAGAACAAAATTGATTTCTACATTCAATATTATTTAAGCATTTTGATCTTCTAGGGGGAAGCGGGAAATGGTTTTAGATTGTTAGCTAGGAAGCTCATGCATTTCTTCTCGTTGATTTATATACAGGGTCAAAATGATACTTGTACTTCCGTTTATTCATCGTTTTAGATTTTGATAATATAGAAACAGCCTTGTGTCAGATTTTCAGAGCATAACTTTCTTGTACCTTTGTTTTAGGGGCCTGTTTGGCAGTGCTATTATTCTTTTCATATATCTTACTTAACAAATAAATTAATTTAGGGTCTGGTTCAGTTATCCAAACGCTTTTAACAGCATTATTAGTGTGGGTCAAACACACAAAATTAAAAAGGAAAAGTGTATCGTTTCATTTGAAAAGTTTTGTTTTTGCACAGCTGATTTGCTTCTTATAAAAAACATATTGTGGTATATATTTTGCAGAAATGGAATTATATCATTGGCCTTAAATTAATTAAACCATGACGAAATACACCTTTCTTGCAGGCTGGTGGTATGGTGTTGTTGGTCACTTAGAATCATGTGATGGGAATGCTCATTACTGCCGATGTCATAATAGCGGTAAATTTATCTCATTTCACTGTTAGATGATTGTTATGATCATTCTTTAATTGACGTTCTTTTCCACCTTCAAAATAGAACCATATCGTGTCTATGATTATCCAGCGTATCACAAACAATTATAATATAATTTTTAGAAGCAGCTGGGTATAATTTGTGCAAAAGCAGAATATTTCTGCCTTTATGGTGATGAGAAAGAAAGGAATTCAGTGAAGGTTGAAGTTTCATACATGCGTATTAAGCACTATAATCTTTATTATGGAGGACATAAAGGGAAGAAGTGACATTAAAGTTCACTTTGATGGAAGAGACCAGAAGTTAGGCTATTTTATTTTCATGGTTTTAATATATTAAACGTGGACCACCTGTTATGCTATTGGAATGGTCCCCTGGACATATCATGGTCAGTGTGTCATCATTGCCACCAACACATTGATAACTTATGTCTCAGTGGATCCTTTAATGGCCAACTATTCTGAAAGAACTCAATTTCCCTTATAAGTTTCTGTTTCAAATCTAGTAGGAATCTTTATGTTATGTGGGGCACTGGGGCAACCCTAATTATTATAAACCTCCAACTTCTGTTTCCATTTTCTGATCTTTTTGTAAGGTGGCCATGATTGCCCACAACTCTTTGTTGAGGTAACTATCAAACACTTCCTTCCCTACAGATAACAATAACATCATAAGTAAGGTTAACATTGGAAAGTAGTCATTGTTCATCTGCAAGGAAAGTAATAGAGAAAAATTCTGTAAAGTTCTTGAGCTGTTTATTTTCAGATGACAGATGTCCTAATAAAAGTATAACACCTTGGAAGCATTTCTAGCAGTCATCAACACGGCTTTTCCAGAAAGCTCTTCCATATATTACAATTCTAAACAGTTAGTAAATACTCAAATTTTGTGCCTTTGCAAAGAATATCTGTGTCAGGCACTAGGCCTTTCTCAATGAGATTGTTCTTATCTCTCTGCTCTCAGAACTCTTATTTCATTGGAAAAGCTCCCTTTGTCATTTTCCTGTGTCAATTGGTGGAATTTTGTCTATTGGTTGCTTGGATAGGCCTGAAAATGGTGACTTTTTCCCATTTTCATTGGGGGGGGGGGGTTTCCTCTAGCAATTTTGTGTTTCCTAAATGGTTTCATTCATGACTTAAGTGGAATTTTATGTTTCTCAAAACGAACGGTGATGCTTGCGTGATTTTGTATTAAAGTGCTATGGAAATGGATGCCGTCTGGCTAGGCTCCACCCTCACTGATGATACGGTTCAATCCCCACATGGTGAGAAGTGCGAGTCTTCGAGTGTAGATAAATAGGATATTCTACCATTTGGGTACCCCGCATTAGATGGTTTTCCCATTTGGCGTTGATCCAAGAAAAATACATGACTTTAGTGGAATGTCCTCTTCTCTTAAACTTATTTCTCCCTTTTTTTTTTCTGGGTTGAGATTGTTTCTCTCTGATGTTTTTTCAAGTGGCACAAATGATTTTTCCGTTATAGTGTGGGCAAACTCTCTAGCCACCAAAACCTTTAGCTCTACAATATCATCTCATCTGTCATGACTTGAATGAGCAATCTGTCTGCAGCGAACTTGTTAGGAATGAAATTTAAGGAGCTTTTCCTGTTATATATAATTGAGCATCTCATCAAATGAAACAATTTCATTGAAAAAAAATGCTGGAAATAGGAGATAGCTATCATTTTTCACTTGTGCATGAGTCATGACTTAGGCCTGGTAGTTGTTATAACCTTATCACTGATAAGGATTTCTGAGGATTTGAAACATAACATGATTAATGCTGATTGAATTTGCTGCAGACATGGTTGTGCTAGAGTTCAACCAGTACATGCCTGGCTCGCGATGGAGACAAACAAACATCAGTAGGAAGAACCATAGGGAGGAGGGAAATGAGGCTGATGGATTCTATGGAGGAATCAGAAAGATTTACAGTGAGACTGAGATTGCCACATGGAAACGCCTTTGGCCTACTCAAGTCTTGGACTAGTAGAAACTGCATCAGATCGGTTTTTTTTCACTGTTAACTTAGATTCAAGCTAGAAACTTGCTCGTGTTCTGAAGCAACGGGGTGGTAGAACACGAAGTGAGCAGCTTTCTCTCATTCCGCAAAACGCACAATGGAGAGCATGCAGTTTTCTTCTTTGACAACCCTCCCCCCCACTTGTATTATTCTGGTCAATTTTTTCATGGGGAGAATATATTCATATGATTTCCAATCAATGTAGATTACTTTCATTTATGCTTTAAATGATGTAGAAACATTCATTCCACTATATACATAGAATCTAGCTTCTGATCTCAAGTTTGCACCTCTGAGAGATTACACTGAGCTCCAAGATAGTTCCGTCTAACAATAATTATGTGAAAATGAATCATTAGCGATATGCTTATAGAATGCTTTCTGTGTCTCACCAGCAATTAAACTTTGTTTCAGACTATAAATAATACTTGTAAGCGTATATCCTCTGTGATCTGCAATAAAGCTGAAGATGTAAGCATCTAGTGCTTCTTCGTCTATGAAGATTACATTGCAGGATTCTATGTTATTTGCATAACGATTTGATCAATATGTTTATTCTTAATTTAAATTCTATGATTCACGTTTAACTGAAATGACTTCTGTCATGACCTTTAGGTTGACGAGTTGATAAACATTGATAAGCTAGCATATATTGAAAATTTTCTATATACCTAGGAGTTTTGGACTCAGTAAGCTGGATGTTTTGCATAAAAATATTAAAAGAATCATATAGGTCAAGTGTCACATCATCCTTGTGTAATGGTTAAACCATGCCATTACATGCATTAACAACCTCAATTCCATCAATAGGAATAATGTGTAGGTGATGGATATCATTTTAAATAACTACAATGGAAAATCCAAAATTCAAGAATTGCATTGAAAGAAAATTGTTTCATACCAATTAAGCCTCTGTTATAACTGTTGTTCAAACAAAAACAAGAAAAACTATGTCATAATTTATACAAAAATGAAATCAACCAAAAGGAACATATATACTCATAGCTGAAATGAGACTTACACTGCCAACATTTAACTTAGACAGATTATATTTAAAGATTCTAATTTTGAATATTTAAATGATAAACTCATTTTTCAAAAGTAGAATTTACAAAATTATCTTTAATTCATTCTGTAAAAGAATATTGTCCAACAAAACCTTTTCCCAATTAGTAATCCTGTAGTAACACCAAAGAATCTATCTACAATTTGCATAATTGAACCAATTCCTCCATTTCCCAATAATGTTGTGTTTCTGAATCACTTAACATACCTTTCTCCGTAACCCAAACAAAGAAGAAGCCTAGGCTTGTAAAATGTCATTGTCATTTTCTTTACCTCACTAACTGTTTCATCCTTTTGGTCTCTCAACTTGTAATGACCACTTACTTTCCCATATAGAAACTTCATTATCTTTTCTCTCTGTTTTTTCCAAGCCCCACCACTTTCAGTCTCTCCTTTGCTTCTGTTGGGCCTGTTAAGCCCATTAGGCCCACTCTTGTCCAACCCAATTACTCTGGCTTTCCGTGCAAACTCCAACCCTTTGGGATCACTTAACACCATTTTGGGTCTTCTTGATCCTGACATCAATGGCTCATTTGGGCCTCCACATACCAGCTCACATGGGCCACAATTTGGGCCTTTGCTTCTGAATAGTAATTCTGACTTAGTCCTTCTAATACCATCTCTAGCCTTTGGTTTCCCTCTCTTCTCTTCTTCCCTCACCACCTTTAAAGCCACCATGAATGGATCAAAATCATCATTCCACAAACTTTGCCCTGAAAATGTTCGCCTCACTGATGCCCCCAATGACCTCGGTGACAAAGACGCCGTCGAGCTCGGTGTACTTGTTTTCCTACCATTTCCATTTTGAAGCCTTGGAGGAAGCTTAAGAGGCAGTGGCAAGACCTTACCATCAGAAAAAAGTTCATCAGCAAATGCCATGGTAGGCAGTGAAGTCCCACTTTTCCTTTCTTCCTCTTCTTCTTCATCTTCTTTCCTTTGATTAGTTTCGAAGTCACGAGGATCAAGGAAGCGAGAACTAGTTTCGAATTCAAATTTATCTTCACCAAGATCAGAACCATAAAGTGATCTTGTCTTGAGTTTGAAGCTAGGACTAGTTGGCACGCTGTAGAAAAACATGGTGTCTTCTTGGTTGCTATTAGCTCCTGCAGTTAAGAAGGAAAATTCATCTGAGAAAGAGAACTCCATGTGGGATGGGACAGAGATTTATGAACTATGAAGAAGGCAAGAACATGAGGAGATTGATGGCAGAGTTCTAATTTGTAAAGTAAGTGCTAATGAAAGATTGCTGAAATTAAGAAATTTGTTCCCTGAAATAAGGGAGAGACTTGTATTGTTTATATCATGAGATTTCTTGTCATACTCCAAAGTAATCTTCAAAGTTCAACCAAATTAAACTATGTGTGCCACGTACTATTTCCGGTCCTAATTATAAGAGCTAGTTAACTAATTTGAGAAAATTAAGAAAAGAAGTTAAGTTAGTTATTTGTAATAAATAGGTGTTGTCTTTCCTAAAATATTCTTACTAATTAAATGTACTGATTAGAATTATCATTGTTAGGAGGATTACCTTCGAAAAAAATATATAAATATGAGAGATAAAATGGATTGGGGTTTTATATTTAGGATCAAAATAAAAGTCAAACAAGATTTTATATTAAGGACTGGAGGTAGTATTATATTACGATGGATTCATTTAATTGCTTATTTTGTTTTCTTAATTTCAAATTAAGTTTTATCGTAAACCATATAAATAATGACTGAAAAGTTTTTAGAATTAATATGCACCTAACACCTTAAACTATTTTTCAAAATACATCTATAGGATTTTCACATATATAGGCAAAGATTTAAAGATATAATTTTCTACAGTATCTTTGTTTGAGTTATAATTATTATGTATATTAACTATTTAACCCTTTTTTTTTTCCATCCGATCAAAGATAAGTCATTGGCCTTAAAATTAAATTACCCTAACATGTGAAAATGCATTTACCCTAACGCCACAATTGAATATCAGGTTTGGAAAAAGAAAACAACTTTGCATTAAAAACAAAACTCTTTAACTTTGTCTCCCAGCAATTCTGGGCATTATTAAATGAAGCAGTTTATGTATTGTAAAGCACGTTAATTATTTGTTTATATCCTAATTAATTAATCCAGTCAATCAAGGACGTTTTGTTGCGAAGCATGACCATGAATTTGTCTTTATGTGAATAATTAATCACAATTATTTATCACTGATTAATTAATTACGTGGGAGAGGACTGGGATTTATAAACCAGTTTTTTCATTTTTACCTCATTAAATATATGCAACTTATTATTTTTTAGCTGTAAATTTTTATTTATTATCCTTCATAGAGTATAATTAAATATATACTCCTCTGGTCCTATTTATAGGGCACTTCCAGCATATTTCACACAGACCAATAAAAACCTTAAACTGCAATAACTCTGTCTTAAAACATAACAATTTTCCAATTTTACCTCTATATAATACTTTGAAAATAAAAAGAATAAAACTATTGAATGCTCTATTTACATTTATTGATGGGTGGAAGGAATTAAATAGCATTGCATCGCGCACAGATAAGCACCGAACTTAAATGCCCCATGGCCCTTCATCAACCAATCATTTTAAAAGATGGTGCTGCGCACGGATCGGTGGTTCTATGTGAAGAAAAATTTTATACTCTGCCTATGAACGAGAATGTGGCGTGGTAAGTCTGAAAAATCTTTCTAAAAAATGGCGGCTTCACAGTTTCAAATGACTCATGCCTACCATCTAAAAAATGAACTATAAAAGTAACATTAATCAACCACAAGAAGTAAATATTCTTCGAGTGTTTGTGGTTAGCACGCCATTGAAGAGGACATGAGAAGTCATCACTGTTCTTTCGACCTGAATAGAGAACCAGGTTTGCTTCATGCTGAAAGAAGCAAGCCAGAGGAAAAGACGGGAATAATGGCATAGGAAGAAGACAAAATTAAAGGAAAAGTATTTAGCATTGGAAAGAGGAACGAAGAAAATGTACGAAGTGTTCAAAGGAAAATGTGCCAGCAATTTAATAAGGGCAATTCTGTACATCTACATCAAAAATTACATCATGTGCCTTATATATAGGACCAAAATTTACACTCTCTCTCTGCCTTATAAATAGGACCAGAGGAGTATTACATATTACTTTCGGTCCTAATTATAAGAGCTAGTTGACTAATTTGAGGAGATTAAAGAAATAAGTTAAGTTAGTTATTTGTAATAAATAAGTATTATTTTTTCTAAAATATCCTTGCTAATCAAGTACTCCTCTAGTCCTTAATATATGACCTAATTATTTAGTTGTTTTTTGTCCTAGATATAAGACCCATTTCTTATATTTATCAATTTTCTCTAAATTACCCCTATGGATATTCCCTCAACCATAATCAAGTAGAAGAGGAATATGGGGTATTAAGAAAGATGATTATGGTATTTTAGAAAAAAAACGTGTCACATTTCGTATAATTAACTAATTTACCTAATTTCTTTAATATAATCAAATTAGTTAAATGAGTTTTATATTAAGGACCGGAGGGGTATATGACTAGAACTACTATTATTAGAAGGACTATCTTAAAAAAAATGCATAAATATGATAGACAAAGTGGATTGAGGTCTTATATTTAGGACCAAGATAAAAGTCAAACAAGGTTTTATATTAGAAACCGGAAGTAGTATTTATTATTATTAATTAAATTTAACTAATATGTTGAATTGATTCGCTTGATTGTGATGGTTATTTCCTGTAAAAAAGAGAAGGAGAAGTATTTGCTAAAAAAGGAGAGAGAGATGAAGATATAGGTTACTTTCTTACGAGGGTCGCATCCTACTGTGGTTTTAAAGGACGCTTATAGTTGTTCTTTTTCTTTTTTCTTTTTTCTTTTTTTTGTTTTTGTTTTGGCCAGCGCTTAAAGTTGTTCTAAAGATTATGGACATTTCTATATGTTAGAAATATTACAGATCATCCGAAAGCAACAACTACTAGTGTATTAAGGGAGGACAAATCACGAAAATAGGGATAATTCGATATTACCTCCGGTACTTAATATAAGGTCCTATTTGACTTTTATTTTGATCTTAAATATAAGACCCCAATCTACTTTGTCTCTCATATTTAGGTATTTTTTTCCAAGATAGTCCTTCTAATAATTATAATCCTAGTTAATATAGTTAATTAGTAAGGATATTTTAGGAAAAACAATACCTATTTATTACAAATAACTA